ACATATGTCTTAGGTTAAAACAATTTATTGAATAACAATATTTTGGATGGAAAAAGTTTCAGATGATAAAAATAAGGGATTTTTGTTGTTGTTGTTTTAAAGTGTAAAGACGAGCAAAAACTACTCATTGGTGTATTCACTGGCAAAGAGAGTCTTGCTAACAAGTGTTGCTGATAAACTGGATGTCAGCATGTAAAGAATCTTCCTCTGCTCTCACCCTGTAGTGCACTCAACTCCAAATGCACCAAAAACATCCACACAAGACTTCAGAATTGTAAAAAATACACAGGGTTTGTGCCTAAGAACCACTTCCTGAAATAAAGAGCCTGTGGGCTGGGCAGGCTACAGGGAGGAGAGAGAGTCCAGAGATCCAGAGCACAAACCTGGGAGATCCAGGAGATTCTGCTGAACTGGAACCTGGTGGCAAACCTGGGATACCCTGCTTTACTGGATGAAAGAAGTGAGGCTCAGACCTGAGTACTGCACTCAGCAGGCGGGCCTCTGCGTGTCTGGCTGAAGCACTCAACCCGACTCCTCCTCCATCCCAGGCTTCTGCAGAGAATTCACAACAGGAAACCCATCTGAACACTGCACAACCTCCACTCACAGGTTCCAAAAGAAAATCATCTGCCATCTGCGCAGACTCTGATGCCTGCCTGGCTTCCTGGAGGAGCTGGGTCTCTTTTACTAGCTGAGAAGCCTTGGCCAGGGAAGCATGCATCAGAGAGCCCCCTAAAAGAGCAGGGTGAGTAGTGGGCCCAACAGACTCCACCGAACTATTTGAGTTATGGGAAGATAAGTGCTGGTCTGACTGCACTACGGCATACTGCGGCAGACAGGGTGTCCTGAGAGCCAGGGCCCAGGCTCCACCCTGCTTGGAGAATCTGCAGGCCAGCTCTGGTGGGTCCTGAGTGGGGAGGTGTTATAGTGGGAAGCCTGAGAATGATAAATAAAGAAGACAAAAGCAGTCGCTGGGCCCAGCAGGGCTTGCCTAAGATGACTTATGCCATGAAATTTGTTAAAGCATACAGTATCATATAAACTATTTTCTGGGGAAAGTAGCTAATGTCAAAAGAAAGCTACATCCATCACTTTCCATAGCTAGCCTGGGCAAAGTCTTTGCTGCTGTGGTTCTTCAAAGTTAAGAGACCTAGATCTCCTGTCTGCTGCTGGTGGTAGGAAATGTGCTCTCCTCCAAGAACAGTGCGGATTCTGCACCAACAAACCCAACCTGGTCGAGAGGGCCCACAGACTTAATTAAGGACCAGACAAAGATTCAGTGACTGTCATCTTCCTAAGGGTGGGCTTTTGTTCCCTCACACTCTGGCTCCTCCCCTTGATCTCTCCTTTCCTCCTCCTCAATTCTCCTGTCATTTAAAAGTTTCACACAATTTCCTCCTGGATCAAGTCATTGCCATCACTAGGTTCATGTTAGGACAATGGGTACATTGGGTAGGAGATTAGTGAGTCCCCTTTCTTGAGTCTCATTATACTCAATGTAGCCCTGTAATTAACAGTTTTTAAAGGTTCCTCTGGGAATGAATGAAAGCAATCACAGAACCCACTGCAGCAGATCAACCTAAAACTCTTTTCCTGGTTCATGAAGTCACCCAAACCCCATAAACCCTAGGGATAGAGCCTAGCCTGACCTCTGCCTTCACCCTCCTACTGGAAGCAGGCAATGAGAAAATACACCCCCTTCTTATAATGGGTCCTCAGTGTTAGATAAATGACCTTAATGACCTAAGAGAAGAAACCTTAGATAGCTGGGAAAACCCAACTCGGAATAACTTCCCTGACAGGAAAACCGATGTAGTACCAAGAACATCTGCCAAGATCATTCAAGAATCCATAAAGAACACATGCACTGATAAACCTTCCTCCCAGAGCCCCTTCTTTGGCCCTATAAAGTCCAAATGCCTGCACCTGGGCACACAGTCTCCATCCCAAGGAGAGACTGGAGTCGTTCCGTTGTTGTGATCAGAGGACCATCTCCCTGTAATAGTTGATAATGGTTGCTCTGCTCTTTTATTTCCCGATCTTCTCCATGGGTTCTGATCAAACCCCCTTTCCCAGAGCGGAAACGGTTGTCAGAGACCAGGATCCACTGGCCTCCTATTCTGAGCAACAACAAAAAGGAAAAGCAAAGCTCTGCCAGCAAGAGCTGCACAGCCAAGCGTCATCACCATGGAAGAAGTTCAGTCCAAGAAGACAAGTGGTGCAGAGGAGGCTCAGCAAAAGGGCCAACAGGTCGTGGGTTCCACCCAGAAGTGGAGGGAGCAGATGAATCCGGAGCCTCAGCAGACCAAAACCCCAGCAAAGAAGGACTTGACAAAAAGTAAGTACAATAAGAACCCCAACCCACCGTACTGTAACTCCTCCATCACCACTGAGCCCTCCTGCCAGGGTTTCCAATGGGCAGGCTAATCACCTGTCAGAAGGATTCACAGGCCCAGGACAGCCTGGAACCAGAAAGCATGCAGAAAGAACTAAGTGAACCTTAGAGTCCCACACCCTCAGCTAAAGGAGTGCATTCTCAGGCCCCTGGGAAGGAGCACTCTGAAGCTTCAGGAGTGGGGAGAGGCTGGCATTCAGGATGGCTCTGAAAGGGAGAAGCACAGGGTTCAAGTCAGTCCCCAAAAGGAAAGCTTGGTGACACTTAAGTTACAGTCCCAGACTGAAACTTGGCAGAGACAGACTGCATTCATGGTACTTCCATCCTGGACAAGTCACTTTACAGCCCTCAGCCTCCGTGACTCTCGCCATTTAGGAAACAGGAGGGAGGTAAAAACCTGTTTTCTTGGGCTGTGGGAGTAAAGTGATAATCCACGTTACTTATTAAACAGTACAGTATTCAGTTAATGTTCGGGTATTATAAGTACAAGTCAATACAATTGCAGGTGTTGTTATTATTATAGTTTCCAACCCTGTGGGACAGAAGCTCAGAGCCCCACATGAAGGAGTTGAGGCTCACAGAGAAGATTAGACACTCACACAGAGGACTAAATAGAACCAGGGCAGATGTGTGAGCTTCATGGTCCCAGAGAAGGATCTTTCCTCATCAGGAACTCTGAGAGCATCATTCTTGCCATGTGACAGTGGAGAAGGCTATAGGGGTAAGGAGTAAGGCCCCCAGGTTTGTTCCCCAGGCTCCCATATCTGACTTACTGACAGCCACACAGCTGTCTCCTTCCCAGGGCTCCTTATTTCAGGCTCTAGGGCAGATCTTAACGTGGGGTCCCTTAGCCAGGCATCTCACGAGAACCACTGTGTTAGGCCATCAGCCTCTGTGACACTCACAGTGGGGAACATGAGCAGCTTGTGTGCAGAAATGAAGATGAACTAAACTTGAAGCTGTGAAAGGAACTTAAAGTCCACATAGGTAGTAGTTCTTCACAAGTGACCACCCATCTGTATGGGGACCTGAACAAGGGACTTAAATACAGTGAATCCATGGTGGAGGGCTAAGGGTCACAAACTACAGAGGCTCCACTGTATTATGCAATGCTGAAGTTGCATTTGACACAAGAAAAATCTGGAAACCATGAGGGTCTGCAGTGAGTCTAACCCACCTGGCACCCAGAATTCAGCTCAAAATACGAGTGTGCACTGAAGATCTAAGGCAGTCATGGAGGTTCTGATGACCCAAAAAGGATTCTGCTCCTTGAGATGGACAAAGAGAAGAGGGCAGGCTCCTGCCTCAGCTTCAGTCATTTTCTGCTACTGACTTCATTCTCTTTACCCGGGCCATATATTTGTAGACAGATTTTCCTTTGACCACCAGCTCACCAAAAACAACATGGAACCTTGTTATTAATTATAAAACCTCAATATATAGCTTGGGCTTACACTATTAGATCTTATAACTTAAATTAACCAATTTATATTAATCTTTGTTTTGCCTCACTACTTTTTACCTCTCTTCCATCTTGAGCCTCCTGCTTTGTCCCCGTGTCCTCTGGCATCTCTCGTGCACCTAGATCCATCTCCTCTTCTTTATTTCTCCCTGGAAGTTCCACCTAACCTCTTCCAGCCTGGCTATTGGCCATTCAGCTTTATTTATTTTATTTTTATTGATTAAACCAATTTTATTAAACTAATTAGAAAATGACTTAGCAAAAAACTTATCTTTACAGTGTACAAAAGGATTAGGCCACAATACACACCCTTGCTGCTTCCTTTTCTCAAGCATGAAAGTAGCCACCTCTCTCCATTGCACAAGGTCTAGAGAGAGAGGTAAACTTGTCCTAGCTCATAGCACACAGAGACAGACACAGGGCTGCAATCCAGAACTCTCAGTACCTGGGAAATGGGAGACACCTCTTTCAACCTAGTGCTACAGTGTGAACATCCTGCCTAACCCTCGTCCTTCATTTTAAAGTTCATTCTTTTTACCCCACATTAAGCTTTGAAAATGTTGACTAGAGAGTCAAAGTCCCTTTCCTTTGGTGGTCAGACTGATTCTGCTTACTGTGTGATAGGAATAAAGTCATTATGTCTAAGGACATTTTGAAAGAGATTAGACCTGTCTCACAGAACTTGCCTGCTGTTCCATTTAAAATAATTCCCCCATCCTGACCTTCCCAATTGCATTTAATCATGAATCAAAACTGTGTTTTAGAGACTCCCACTTTCCTCCCAAGGATGCCACTTACTAAGTAACCATCAGTAACAACTTGAAATGTGTGCTTCAGCCTGCTAGAAATTTGTCAGAATCTGTGTTATAGGTTGTTTCTTTATTCTTTAGCTCTTTGGTGGGGACTGCCACCCAGTTCCCAAATAAATCCAGTCTTTTTCTGACTTATGAATGGCTGACCTTAGCATTTTTTTTGTTTCTAGCCAGCTTTTCTTAAATTATCCAGTCTATCTACTGCCTCTGGGAGTTTACCTTTCTTTACTAATTACTCTGTAGACTGCTCTGTAGCTAAGTGTCTGTCCCCAATGAGTCTTCCTCATGCTCATGTCTCTTCCTTCCTCGTTTATTTTCACTATTCACAGCTTTTAAGCTATTCTATTCAAATAATTCCTCTCCATCACTAACTTCCATGCTCAAGTTTCATTGTGTATCAAAACTGTGTTTTAAACATTCTGACTTCCTCCCTAGGATGCCACTTAGTAACTGTGAGCTATTATTGTAAATACGTACATGAGCCCCACAAAATTTTCTCAGAATCACTCTTTTTAATACAGTATGCCCAACTTTTAAGTTTCAGATCAAATACTAAGAAATAATAAGGCATCAAAAATGAGGTTGTTAACTAGTTGTGAAAATATTCCTATAATCCCAGAAATTGTGAAATTAATGCAAGAAGAATCTGAGCTTGAGGCAAGCCTGAACTACACAGTAAGATGCTACCTATTCTGGCGGGACATAAAATCAGAGAGCCACATGAGCGAGCTGAGGCTTAGAGAGGAAAGTGGAGACTCACACAAAATACAGAGTAGAACAGCATTAGTGTGTGAACTTCGTGGTCTCTGTGAAGGAATGTGACCCTGCATCCGGTGTAACAGCATCATTCTCTCCATGAGAGAGTGGAGAAGGGTATGAGGGTATGGAGGTAGGACCCCAGCCTTATTGCCCTGACTCCTCCTGCTGCTTCTCCGACAATCACACAACCACTGCCCCTTCCCATT